AGAATAGAAGAGATTGTGGGGGAATCAGGTAAATTTTATCGAGACAAAACCAACCCTTCCGGCCCTCACCCCTCTCCCCCACCCAGGCGATGAATAACGATAGGTTCCCTATTTATGATAATTCGTCAGGCTACGAAGCTTTCATTATGAAAAAAATGAAACAAATTGTTAATTTTGAAGATCACTTATGATGATTTAACGGATATTTACTCTAACAGCGGAGGTTTTGTGTCAATAAACAATCGGTACTTTTTGTAACTTTTCCATTCAAACAGCAACCGGACAGGACAAACTCTGATTGCAAAGCAGGTAAAAGATGGAATGGCTGCACTAGTCACTTTGCGGGGAGACCAGGTATATCAGGCGGAAATGGAGGAAACGGCGGAGATGGTGGGAGATCAGGTAAAGCTGAAACTTATTTTAAATTCTCACCATAACAGAGTAAGTTATTTTTTTTTCTTGAGTTTCAAAAGATTAACCTACCTGTCCAATAATTGTCAATAACGTTGCTGGCGTTACTGACAATTTTTGGACAGTTAGGGTTTGTTCCTTTTCCGACGCCGCAACCACGCGCAGTTGGGAGTAAGTTTCTAAAGAAATTGTGGTGCTGCGTCAGTTTGGGGATTATCAAGATAATTTTGTGTTATCAACTGAGTTGATGGTGGAAATTAGCCACCGCAAAGAATTTCTAAAGCTGACGTTTCTAACGTTCGTCCTTTTCCAGAGGAAATTATGAACGGCTAGTGCTTGAAACGTTAGCTATAGAAATTCTTTACGGTGGCCAATTTCCATTTTCAACTCAGTCGATACAAAGAGAATAATACATGGCACGCGTGGATATAAAATTTCTCTTCGAGTATTCAACTCGATAGCTCACTCGTGAGCTATCGAGTTGAACACGAGAAGAGAAATTCCATATCTACAAGTAACCATGTATTATTTTGTTTATCAAAAAAACACAATAGTCCTTTACTGACAAGAAAAGTCAACTTTATATTAATGAAAAAACATCGGAAAAAAATCGTTAATTGCGTTGGCGCTAAAGCTCGAGATGAGAAAATGCGTTGAAACACTTAAAAAAAAAAGAAATGGGCGTAATTTTTAATACACAAAATTATCACTTATTGACTCGGTCTTCCTACCGACAGCAGAAATCTTTCAAGTAAACGGCCCAAATCGGTGTGTGGAAAATCTTCCAGTTGTAAACTTTCCTTCTTAGCCGCGAGAAATGTCATTACCAAGGCCACTGAAAACGTTACTTTCGATTTTTCTTTCCGTATTTTTTTCACGTGTGTTGTGCGGCTTTTCTTAGGGCTAGAAATACTTGTATAACACCCTAGTTTATATGGTAAAACCAAATCATCCACATAAAAAATTGGTTCAGCATCAGTATGATGAGATGTGGTGAACACACCGGAGGTTTGGAAAGCACGAAAGATGCGTAAGAATTGGCTGCTCTTAGAGCAATTGATTCTAGCCTCTTAGGTACTCTACAATCTTCTCAAGTGCTTCATATCTAGATTAACACACAGCTGATACATGAACTAATTGTTCCATTTCATTTTCCATGCAGCAGTGAAATATGTCTTATATGGTAATTCCCCTGTCATGCACACATTTTACTGTGCCCCGTTCACAATGGAAACCTGAGGCACTCGTGCTGTTGACTTTGATTTCTTGTCCACGAACTGACTGTTATAAACAGTAGTAATCACCATTTAAATGCACTGCATTTACTTATGTCCCTCACCTGTTTATTTATTCATTAAACTTAACAGGAAATGGTGGTGATGCAGGCCATCAAACTCTTCATGCCTTGACAGTGAAAGGGAAAATCGAATTAACTTCTTGTCGTGGGACTGGAGGGCAGCCGGCAATAAACGGATTAGGAGGAGCCGGTGAGGACTCAGAAATTCTTCATTGATTAAATTTTGCTCAAGGATACAATTATCTACCAACCTTTTTTTTCTTTCTTTTTTTTTTTTTCCTATCACTATGATAGAATAAATATCATTGGTCTGAGGAAACACCACAAATAAACCTATATCCCGATTCTTTGGAAGGCAGTGAAACATTTTGCTACCAATACTTCATCGGATCAGGAGAAGCTTGGCTTACAACATGAGTTCATTAAGAAAGGTTAAAAACGCTACGACGACGCGAAAACTAAGTTAAGCAAGAACGAAAACCACGAAAAAAGGCAATTAAATATTTGTAATTCTGGCGCCGACAAGTTGTCATTGTAATTGTCGCATGACGTATGCGACTTGGTGTCACTCTGTCGATAACTCCAAATAAAAGGGTAACGTGACTAATAGACACCGCCTTCGTTTTTCTATGGCACTATAATTAGCTTTTACAACAATCATGTTTTAACCAGCGGAATACAATCAAGAGAAGGTATGATCCTCAAAAATTAGCTGCAATCAGTCAGAAGGGTGAGAAATTCAAGTGCATGTTGGGAGAGGGGCAAAGTTTAGAGGATTCTCTATTCCCGCAAAGGAATCTGATGAGGCTGGATTGAAAGTGGATTGATGACCTACTGAAAGATGGGCAGATCAACATGCAGAAGCATCAACAGAGCAACGAATAGTTTGATCAATTAAAAGAAATTGTTGTTTTCAGGTGGTTTAGGTGGACGTGGTGGCCGCGGGATAAACTGTAGGAAGAAGGAGAGATGTGGCGGATTCATAATGTATACCTGTAGCCATTGGTGTGAATCATCCGGACAAACTGGCGAGGCCGCTCGCGGAGCAACTGGAAGAAGCGGAAGCAACGGAAAAGGTTTTTTATTTGTTTATTTTTTTATTCTTTAATTGAATTTAAGACGGTCTTACACTTCCTTAAAATGGATTAAGGTTCCCAGGTTACGGCTCCCTTCCCCTTTCCAGCTTGAAAATCTTGGAAAATCAGAATAAAGTCTCGCACGGAATGTGTTTGCTAGGAACGAGAAGGGAAGGGAGAGAGCACTTTGTTGGTCTTTTTTCAAAGAATTCTGTCAATTATTTTAACACGTGAGAAAAGAGTGGAACGCTGTTTCAAGATTAAGCGTTCCCCTTCTTCCCATGTAAACTTATGGTGTTAACTCGGGAAATAAAACTGAAATGAAATCTCTTCAGGTCTTGTGTTCAACATCACTGCAATGGGAAGGGAATGGGAAGGAAGGTTCCTTCCAAACATAGTAATTTGTTGGGCAATGCTAGAACACTAGCTTCTGTCTAAAGTTTATGCTTCAAATGCATATTTAACAACTTTCAATTTTGTTACGATTTTACTTTTAAGGACTCGTAGCAAAAGGCTCCAATGGTCAGGTGGAAAGTTCTTATCTTCAGAAATTTAGTTTGGGTCCCGAGCAATTGAAAAAGTATCCTCTGCAGCTGATAAAGATGATGACAAGATATGGTGAAGAACTTCTGTGGGCCAACGATGTTAAAAAAAGCGACGCTGTGTTCAAGTTTGTTGTAAACTTGTCAAATGGCAATCCTGAAGCGTCTGAATTGAGGAGAGGTTCGGCATTTTCGAATATATTTTCGTTTAATGTACTACATTAAGAGAAACTACAGAAAAGAAATTTGCTGATAACTCTCTTTTCGAAAGACGTGATCCCAGCCCGGCAATAAATACTTATATTTCACATATAGATTCCATGTTGCCTTACGTTTGTACAGTAATATAAAACGGATGACCTTAAAATGTGGTAAGAACAAAAAAGTAGGACTGGAGGCACAGCCTGAAAAAGGTGAATAGTTATCAGAAAATCTAAGGAATTAATCTGCGTAGAAGATGATATGTAAGTCTTCCATTGCGAGTTTGAAGGGGCACACAAGCAGTTATTAATTCCCTTCCTTATCATTTGTTTTGAATATTTCTTAGTGGCAAAGAGAAGACTGGCTTTTATGAACAAAGTAGGATATGACAGATTTGGAAAGAACCAGCTGTTCGCACCTATTATCAAATGGGAGGCCCTCAAGAAACAGGTCGAAGTAATCAAAGATCGTGCAGAAACGTTTGAGAACGCTTACAATGCTATCAAAGAATCGATTACACGGCAGGATGACGTTAAGACAATAGTAAAAGCACTACCACGGACTACCAGACTTCAAGTTGTAAAGCAAAAAAACAGACTGGAAGAGGCCAGACGAGTAGCAGTGAGCGAAAAGGGAGCATATGTGTTGGTAAGTGTCGAAACCTCCATGTCGAATATATACCGATCTTCTAGCGAGAGGGTACCAACCTGTGAAACTGAGATCTCTAACTGGTCTTCCCTCTTACATTTTTCTAAGATGAATAATGCTATACCTGCGATCTTAGCTTCACTCTGAATCAAAATACTTTCGAAAGCGAATGTTGTCAACGTCGGCATTGCGTACGGCGTCCTTTCCTTCTCTAAAACTTTTATTTCAAAGGGAAACAACTAACGAACAGGTATTCTGATCTGACCAGATGCCTCGACTCTACACGTGGGAGTATAGCTTCGAAATAAGGTGGAGCTTAGTTCTTTAGCCTTTTGTTGGAAAATCAAAGGCCTTACGGAAAACGCGCTGGTCGGGCGGCGAGGTCTGGGTTCAAGACAAAGCTGGTCAATGTTGATGAAAACATTTCATTTTAAAAGTACTTCTCTCCACCAAATAGCACCAGTGAAGCATTAGCGATGATGAAGGGTAACCTGCAATGACGTAGCATCCAGTTCATTGGGCGTGGCATTACCCCTAGTTGCTTCATGCCTCGCAGTCCCGGATAAACTCCTGCTAACCTACTTGAACTTCCTTGGTTTACTTCAATCTTTTACAAATTAATAAATAAAGGGGTTAAGTTTCAAAAGAAACTGTGGCGCTGTGTCGGTGGGACAGTATAACAGGATAATTAAGGGTTAATAATGTAAATTGGTCATCGTAAAGAGTTTTAAAGATAAACAATTTAACTCCATTCTCTCTCGTCATGAAATTATACCAGTTTATCTTAACTTTATGAAATGTTATAAGTTGCAGTATTGTGAAGGCTGTTTTTCGCGATACTGACAAGAGCGAATGCGAAATAAGCTCTTTTTTCGGTTGGGGAAATAATGAATACACAAATAAAAATACGCAAATACGCAGGGGAACCAAGCCGTGTTCATGTGATTGCTTTTCAGCGACGTTTTTTCTGAAAAATAACGTAAACAACGATAAGCGACTGAAAATAATACTTAATTTGTATTAGTTTAATTGTTCTTGCACTAATGTTGTAATTTTTTTGTCTCCTCTTCGTTGCACTAGGCTATTGGTGAGCTGGAGGCAAGCATGAAGAGTAATCTGCTGGAAGCAAAAGCGATGCTTCCAGACGTGTACGAAAAAGCAAAGTTTAACAGCGACGACTTATTTGTCATTCTTGAGGGAATAACAGGATTCTTTAGTGGTGCAATGGGAAAAGATCCTTTTGCCGCCCTTGGATCAGCCCTCGGGGTTATTGGGCATTTTGCTGGCAAATGTGACCTTGGCAAACTTCAGGGTAATTTAGATAAAGTAGAAAAATGGTTGAAATTTGGAAAGGACTATGCTGCCCTGAAAGACTCAAGTGAATTGGATTTTGACAAAATGGATGTGGCTGCTGTACCTGAAGTAATGCAGGTAAACATGGATATGCTGCATCTCCAATATCTAATGTTTGTGTTTCTTAATAGCTTGTTGTTTGGTTGTTTGTTTGTTTATGTACTGATTTAATCGTTGAGTTTTATTTGCTTTGTCTTTCTTTTTATCCTTTTGCCTGTTTTGTTTTCTGTTTGTCTCTCGGACTCTGTGTGTGTGTGTGTTTGTCTGTGCGCCTCTTTCTTCGACCCTAGCTTTATTGCTGTTTCCCAAGTTATATCCGGCTCATGACATTTTTTTTTACCTTCTTATAAAAAGGCTAATCTGGAAATGAACAAAGAGGGACTTGCAGCGGACCTTGTTTGCCTGCTGGATGAGAGGTCAAAACCCCGAAACTCGGCAAAGTTTCAAGAACAGATCGAACGATATTTTATCGCTGGTGCCGCAAGAATCGATCTCATAGCAAAGGTCATGGACTTGGATAACGAAATCGGTGGACATAACTTTGACATTCTGAACTTAGAAGAGACAGCAAATGAAATCGAAAGCCTTCGTATCTCTGGTGGTAAGGATCTTTGTGATTATACATCGCGTCCATGCTACCTCTTTTTATAACAATGATATTTGCGCCTATGATCGCACGCAGGGTCGTGCACATGCAGAAGGACATGTTTGGCTATACATTCTGGCCAAAATGTCCCATCAAGTTAAGCTTGAAGGCCACGTCGCTTCACGCTTTCCCTGTTGATGATCCCCTCTCCTTAAATAAGCAGGAAAACGAATATTAAACGTGACAGGTTCGTTTTCCAGATTCATCCAACTTACAACCGCTGTTTTTAATAATTTCTGTTTAATTAGCAAGATGGTGCATTTGTATTTTACAAAAAGCAAAGGCCTAATGATAGTATTTTTTCTTTTCAGATTCTCCCATCGCTGAAAGCACACAGCAGATGTTTCTGGATGGTTTACTTACTTCCTATCAGCATATAGAAACAGGATTTGCCCAACAATTGTACCAGTTGTACAAAGGTTTCGAGTTTC